CACATATTCTTTTGGGAGTTTCTAAATTTATGACAATATTGAAGGTAAAAAGAAATCTAAAGTCCTTAGCTCTTGGGAGTTTTCTGTTTGGGTGGAGTTTGAAGGTAGATAGGGAACACAAAAATAAAACCAAATAGCAATTCATAAAGAGTCATGCTAGAGCCAGGCGCCATGGTACATGCCTGTAATATCAGCTGCTCAGTAGGTTGGGGCAGGAGGATCACCGGAACCTAGGGGAAACTCAGGATGTGAGTCAAGAAAGGAGGATGTAGAAGCCTAGAGGATCTATTAAATGTGAATCTGTTTTTTCACATCATTGTAGGGCTCTTGTACCCATCAGTATTTATTACTATACATCTGGGATGATACTACTTTTTTCCCTGCTCCAAATAATCCTCTAAACTCTTAAATCAATTTTTACAGAAATTTCCTATGAATAATAATTTCCAAAACAGCAAAAGAAAATATTTTATTTCTTTTCACTTTTCCATATAAGACCAATGACTCGAAAATGTCTATAAGACATTAATAGATGGATATTAAATAAATAGATAGATATTAAATAAATTCAATGTTTATCAATTATTTAGTGAGAATATTAGGCACAAATTACAAAGTAATAACTGAATATATGTGAGTAATCACAATTTCTTGTTTCAGTGGTAAAAAGAGATATGATTAAAAAGATCATTCAAAAAGTGAAATGTGCAAGACAATGTGGCATGCAACATTTGTTTTGAAAATGAAATCTATTTATTATGTTTGGGTATAGTTCAGTGTACTCCCACTATACCATTACAAAAGCAAGTAACAATAGGAGCTGTAAGTGATGCTTTTTTCCATGAAGAAGTAAAAATTCTTTGATCTAGTACAGCACTTTTCACCTGAGGGATTTCAATTCATTTTAAGATCATAAATTTACTAACCTGCCCACAGCATATCTGTGAAAAACAGACCTGTTAGAGACAAGCAGAATTGAAAAAGATCTTGGAGTAAGCTAGTGGCAGAAAGGCAAGAGAATAGAGACACAAATTTCAAAAATACAGCTTGTGGCAGACAAGGTAATGGCCCCCCAAAGATGTCCCACATCCTAATCCCTAAAATCTGTGAAGGTGTCAGGTTATATGACAAAAATGAATTAAGGTTGCTAATCACTTGGCCTTTAAATAGAGAGTGTCCTGAATTAACCAAGTGGCACTAATGCAAACACAGGGATCTTTAAAAATAGAAGAGCAAGATGGCCAGGGATTTAACTCAGTGGTTTCGCCACCTGCTGCACAAGCGCAAGGACCTGAGTTTGATCCCTGATACCAAAAAAAAAAAAAAAAAAAAAATAGAAGAGCAAGAAAAGAAGTGGCCAGTGTGATGTGCTGTGTTTTAAGAAGAGCTTGACCTACTCTTGTCAAGAGGAACAAAGGCATCTTAAAGAAGCTGGAAAAGGCAAAAAAAACAAAAAACAAAAAAAACCCCAACAACAATAAAGTAGATTTTTCCTTTTTGGGCCTTCAAAAAGAAATGCAACCTGCTCACATCTTGGTTTTAGTTCACTAGTCCCATGTTGGACTTCTAACCTGCAACTGTAAGATAAAAAAATTTATGTTTTCTTTCAGCTACCAAGTTTGTGATAGTTTGTTACAACAGCAACAGAAAGATAATATACAGCTGTTCAATGAATTAAGTGCAACAAATGTAAACAATCATAGAAGAAAATAATCAATTTAAGTATTAAAAAATTAACATTTAACTTGGAACATGAGTAATAAAAGTAGAAACAGACTCCTTGGCACAACTACATTAAAATAGAAATATATAAGGAGAATGTTTTTCTATTTTCACTGGAATATCAAAGAGAAAAGGGATTAATAAAAAGAATATTGTGATCTAAAGGACAGGTAAGAGTTTTTAAAAATGTTACTTGGAGTAGCCTCCTGGGAGTTCTGGAATCTTTGTTTCCAGGCTCCTTTAAGTTACAGAAAGACCTATCTATGCTACCTCCCCTGAATATCTGCTTCCCCCAGCCTAAATATTTCATAGATTTGGGTTTATTCCATTTTGTGCCACAAATATTTATTATCTGTCTACTCAAAGTAAATCATTGTGATATAAATAATGAAAAAACAAGATATAAATCTTTACTTTAAGAACTTCACAGTTTAAGCCAGGCATGGTAGCACAGCATTCTGAGACACGGAGGTAGGAGTGTGGCAAATTCGAGTCCAGTTTGAGCAATTTGTGACTTAGCAAGACCCTGTATCAATATAGAAATTAAAAATAAAAGGGCTGGGGATATAGCTTAGTGTGAAGACCCTAGGTTCAATCTTCAGTTCCAGGAAAAAAAATGTACATGGTTTAATACTTAACCAAAGTAAATAAAAAACTATAGTCAGGCTACACAAGAAGAAGAGTCACAAAGGATAGATACGTGATATGTTGATAGATATAGAGATATAATAGATATCCACATGGCCCCTTACTAACTCTAAGGTAACCATAAATAAGGTAACCCTTTGCCAACTAGCCACCCACCTCAAACATAAAGCTTTAAAAGGACAAGTAAACAAGTAAAAGAAGCTGCATGTAGACCACTGGAAGAAATGACAGTAGGCAGAGGTGGCTGGAAGCCAATCTAGTTATGATAAGCTCCAGGTGGGGGGAAAGGCAACTGGGAACAAAGGGCCCATGGGTCTTCCGTCTTTCCAGAGTCCCCCACCCTTTCTTACCAGCATAGCTATCTATCTTCTTCTTTCTCCCCTTTCCTTTTCCTCTTTACAAATAAGGTGTCTTCCTTTCGTTAAACTTTGTCCCTCTAATTTTTTAGTGAGGCTGAGTTTACAATCCCAGTGGGCTCTGATGGAGTCACTGGTGGTATTGATATTGGATAGCAGAGCAGCAGTGTTCACCCCCTAGATGCAACAGGAGGTTGTCAGGCATCAATTTATAACAATGGCAGTTACTCTACCATTCCTAAAAACATACAAGGAAAATTTAAAAGTAGATGAAAGAAGAAAGAAAAGTCTTCATTATCAGCTTTTTTTTTAAAAGCAGAAGGAAATAAAAGAATTAGAAAAGTACCACTTTACAACCCTCATATAAAAATACTGTATCTGAACAATCACCATCAAAAGACACTAAAACTACTAGGTGAAAATTTCATGGTAAATTTTATAATAGAAAAATCACACTAAGACCATCTAAACACTCATATACCCAACAATCTTAGGATTAATGAATGGGACAACCAAACACTGCATATTTCTCTTTGTATCATTAGGAAATATGTACTACCATCTATAAAGTAATATTTACCTCCAAAATATCTGAATCCAAATCTGATACAGCCTCCAAATCTAATTACTTTGTATGCAAAATACAGGGGATAGAAGAACCGGATTTTTAAAAAACATAGAATGGAAGCAGCCAGTTAAATATAGAATATGGACATTCTATCTTATAAATCAACCAATTTCTCTAGAAATCACTGGTGATTCAAAAGAGAAGAAAGAAACTTTAGAGACATAATTAAGTATAACATACAAACCTTGTTTAGATTCTGATTCAAACCAACCAACCAACCCTGAAAATATAGTTTTAAGATCACCAGAGAAATTTAAATATAGATATAAAATATTATAAAATTATTGTTATAATAAAGGCATGGCATTTTAAAAAATAATTGTTATATGTTAGAAGTTAATATTGAAGCATTTTCAGAGAAAAATATAATATCTGATTATGCTGTAAAATTGATGAACAAAGTATATATAAAAGAACACATAGAATAAGATTAGCAAAACAGTGATACATACTCAAGCTGCATGATAAGAAATAAGGGTTCAGGACAATATTCTTCCTCTTTGCATGTCTGAAATTTTCCATACTAAAAAGATTTAAAGGATGAATACTTCTAGTACTCAATGTAAAGCACTTCTAGTTCTCAATGTAACCACTTCTAGTATTCATTGTAAAGAGGTTTCTATTTTTCTGGATAAGTACACAGTTTCTGGTCACTATTTATAGTAAAGAGTGAATATAGTAGGGAATATTTGTGAACATTCAATTTTTTTATGCCTCATGCAGTCAAATTTAGTGTTATATTTTTCCAAAATGCCTAATCTCATAGTTTTTTGGTAACAAGCTTTACTTTTCTTATTATTTAGGTCTAGAATGTCCCCCCAAATACTCATGGGTTCAAAGGCTTTTGGAAGGTAAAAGGATCATGGAAGTGCTGCACTCATCAGCGGATTAATCCAGGAATGAATCCACAGTTGAATGTGCAGTTAGGAGTCGGGGTCTGGTCAGAAGAGTCAGTTCACTGCCAGTGTGACCTGGAAGGTTGTATCTCCCTCTCTGCCTCCTCTTTTCACTCTCTGCTTCCTGACCAGCATGACATGAACAGCTTCACTCTGCCAGATCCTTCCACCATGCCCTTCCTACATTGGAGCCAGTCAGCTCTGGACTGAATCTTGTAAAAACTGTGGCCAAGATAAACCTCTCCTCCCTTAAATTGTGTGTTGGGTATTTTATCCAAGCAATGAGAAAGTAATCAAAACATTTCTTGTCTGAAATATTATAAAATATTAAGAATATATTTTCTTTTTATTTTAAAGATTTTTTTCTCGTGAAGAAACACTCAAAAAGCTGTGGTATTTCTGCCAGAAGAAAATAAAGATATCAAGAAGGAAAATTCATCCACGTAAACAAAACTATGTTACAGAGGTTTGAGCCTAGGCATTTCAGCTAATGTTTTTTATTATGCAGTAGGTTATGTGGGAAGGAATTATATGTACAATGACCATAAAGATAATTATTTCTGTATGCAACAAAATTTTTTAATTTAAAAATTGTGCTATAGGTCATAACAGTTATGAAGATAATGTATAATTCTAAAATTTTATTCAATCAAGGATATAGAACAAATGGTTGTAGCCTTCAAGATATGTACATGTTACTCTCATTCCCTACAACCCCCTTCTTCAGAGCCTGATCCCTAATCACCTTACCAACAACAGCTTCAGTGTATTTTCCTTCTGTGGGAAGAGGGAAGTACTGGTTAGGAGATGTGTTGCTGCCATAGCCCAGGAGAAAACCTTCAAGCTTTACATTTGGATTTGGTTGCAGGAACTTCAGGAGGATGGAGTCACTGGTGGTATTGATATGGACTTTCAGGCTTGTCTTTTTACCTAAAAATAGAAAGAAAGAGAAAAAGAAGGCTGTTACTTTACTTCTTTTACATCCACAAAAATTCCCAGCAAGGTTGAATGCCCAGAGCCATTGTCCTGTGAAGGATTTTTGTCAACTTCCCTACTCAAAATCAAAGAACATACACCCAAATGCCCAAAATGTAGCTAAGAAAATAGACTTACCAACATACAAAGCAACCTATAATAAAAAGAAAATCTTGGGGGTTCAATACCTGATAGTTTATTATTGAGCAAGTAGGTAGAAGTTTGGTTTTTGCGATTATCCACAGTTGGTCAGAACCTTCACTTTATGGTGGTAAAAGAACCTGAATTTCTTATTGGAAAAATTGAATTACTACACCTTGAAAACGCCCAGCTTCCTCTGTGCTGGTGTTTAGCCCCACAGCCACAGGCCTTGAGTCACTGATAGGGTTGGAAAGGGAGAGAAGAAGGGAGGATACTGGCTTAAGGGTAGAAGCAAGAGAATGGTTAAGGAGAAAGATGATTTGTTGCATTAGGACCTCACTGGGTCAATGAGACAGCTACACAGAGATTTTCAACAGTGAGTTCAATATCTAAGTGTGATGTTCACAACGTCATCTGAGTGACACTAGCTAGGAAGTGATAATTGGATGACCTTTTCCAGAGAGACTGAAAAGTGAGGAGAGAGACCTTACTTCAGTTCTTGAGACTTTTTTTCTAAACTACTAATGCAACAGGGGAAGATAATCACTAAAAGTTCTTACCAGCTTAGCCTTATGCACATGCTTTAGCCTTAGCTTCCTGTTGGTAAATGATGGATAACAGCTCCTTTCTTGCTGGATTATCTACAAAGATTATTCAAAAAGGCACAGTCTTAAAGCTGGCCTATACCAACTGCTCAATAAATATTTACCAATATAAGCTATCATTCAGAAATCCAAAAAGATTTTTGCTTTTTAAAAAAATTCACTTCAAACTTATTTAGTAACAAAACTTGCTCTGAATCATCCTGAGTCCATTTACTCTTTCTTTAGTTCCATTTGATGTGACTATTTATATTTTTCATTGTGGAAATGTGTGATTGCCAGTCAAGACCTCACTGAAAAGGTTATGTAGTATATGATCTAACACTTTTCTAAAATGTCCAAAATTTTTGAATTCCAAAACATATCAGGCTTTAAGGTTTAAGATTATGAGATTTTTTTCACTTTGTTCTTCAAAGATTTCATATTTTTAAAATATTTTGCCTATTGAGAAGACTGCATTTGTTAATTAAAAATTTGTATTTTACTTCTCATTAGTGAAAGTTTTATATTGTATAAATCCCATTATCACATCTTTAAGGTATGAGCTGTAAAGTCATTCCACTGACTTTATCCTTCTTCAGTCTTCTTTAGCCAAAATCAGACTGGATAGCCTCAATCAATATAGGTATATAAAAGGATTCCATTATTTTGAAAACAGAAAAACAGCCCCTTCACAGATGCCAGGTTGTGGGAATCACTCTTACCTCAGTAACAAGGACTATAAGTACCATGTATATGAATATTAGTTTATACTTCCCCAAAACTTGATGAAGTTTTTACTTTCAAATTTCCATATTGCTATTCTTACATGTGTAGTAAAATTGATGTCTGTAAATATTGAGTGGTTTATTCTTAGCCTGAAAAAGGGATTTCACAGCTTACTTAGTTCAAATCCTTCAAAGGACGAAACTGAGGGCATTCATATTTCCATCACTCTGCATGTTTGGTGGAGGTTCAAAACTGGATCTTAGGTTCTCACCAAGCTGGCCTCACCTACTCTCATTTTCATTGAGACCTTTGTCACTACCCAGCAAAGTAAGGACCAGTCAAGCCACAGACCACAATGCTCAACTACTGATGCTCTGTTTTATTCTAACTTCACCAGATTTTGATAAGGTAATTTGTACTTCAGATAAAACACATTTTGTGCAACCCAAATGTCCCTTTTTAGGGGTGTACCTATATTAACTCCAGATTTAGTCAGTCCTGCCCAATAGAATGGAATAAATGTAAGTCATACATGTATTCTGCTTCTTTAGAAGATTGTCAGGTCTCACAGAGTCAAACCAAAACCAGCTTATTTCAATACTTTGCTCCAAAGAAAAGATTAGAGTATCTTAGTGCATCTGGCTACAGTCATATTTGACCAAGAACAGAAATTCTCTGGATCAGCCTCACATTAGGCTTTTGCTAATGGACTCTGCCCTAATGCACCACATTATTCTTCCCTGAGAAAACAGAAAGTATGGTTACATCAAGTAAAAGGAAAGTCTGGACAGAGCTACTAATGAACCAAATTGGAAGTGATTATCTCCTCTGCATAAGACTTTTCATGATCCCAAGTTCTCTCTCCCTTTTGCAAGTAATTTATGTCAACAAATACAAGGTGTGATTTTAAAAATATGGTGTGTGTTTACATTGTTTAAAAATTAATTAGAATGTTGGAGGGCACATGGCAGCTGCATTCACCAGAATTTTTACTGTACCTCATAATGATAAAAAAGTGGATAGAATTACTTCAGAAAGTGGCAGAAATGATGGTATTAGTATATTTGAAATAAAGAGGAGTTTTTTGAGGGGCAGTTAATAATAATAATGTGGAATATGACGTTGCATTTAGCTTCCCCACTTTCTCTAAAATTCTAATTCATACTACTTTCTAAAGCTAAACATTTATAAATCTGAAAAAGAGAAATACATGCAGAAAAATCTCATGTCAATAGAGCATCACAAACTTAATATCTTAAGATCATCATGTTTTTTATTTAGAATTGAGAACTCAAGTCCCTTCCTTAACTTATTACACATTACTTCATCTATTACTAATTCTCAACATATCTCATTTGAAATTGACCAGCATAATCTTACACTCTGTAATGCACATTTGGCACACTATTTACCCAGTATGGATTCCCACTGTCCTTGGTTTGCCTTCAGTACCTCCTTTTATTCATCCAGGTACTACTTCATTGAGCCTTTTAGTGCACAGGGTAAAAAAAAGTTAAGCAAGATTTCTTACCTTTAGTCTGAATCAGTTTGTTAAGTGCTCTTTCAAATGAAGGTTTCAATGATTATTCAATGACAAACTCTTGGACAATGTCCCCAAAATTTGTATATCTATACGATCCTATGTTAATTTTTAATCTTTAATAATATATGTGTTCTCATTTTGAATAATCCTGGCTTAATGACTTGGGGCCTAATTCATTTTGTGACAATTATCTTTCAAAAGTTAGTAATAGGGCCCTGGTGAATAACATAATGTAAAGATAACAGAAAATAATACAATGTAAGACAAGCCTAATTAGGACAACACTAATTAGTAAAAGTGGCATATATGTTACCCAGAAATGTCCAGTGTAGAGAAATAAGAATACTAGAAGAATATTTTATTTGAATATTTGATGAGAAGCAAAGTGCATGTCAACAAGTATAAAAGACAATTAAAAAATAATACAAACATTTTGGAAAAGGAATGTGTTTGGAAAAAAGTTGCATATTGGCATAATAGAATCTTGGATCTATGACAATGGTTTTTAATCCTCTTTTTGCAACACCCTTGGGTATCTCAAAATATTTCAAAGGGTATTATGAAATTCTAAAAGAAAAAAGAATCTTTCAAAATATAATTAGAATTAATTCATTTTTAATGTTTGAAAATAAATACATTCCCTGCAGCATTAAAAACAGTAATGGGTTATGGCTGGAAAACCAGACAAAAGGTACAGCACTGTAAGTTGTAATAACTCTTGGGATCAAGCAGACTGGGCAACTTGATGTTGTTTCTGAGAGGCTATGGTCAGTTTCAGTCAAGTTCTATAGAGAAACAGTGCAAATACATGGTATTAAGTAAAACCAACTAAACTCTCACAAGCATCTAATTACAGACTTGCAAGAAAAGAATTGCCATTGCAATATATTCAGTAGAGGAAATTTTTAATGTATATTCTCTCATAAGATTATCTTATACTTTCCAAAATATTTCAGAGGATGATCTGAACTGTTGATATCAAGTTAGTCAAGACAATAAAATTATTACAAGAGAAAAATTGCAAAATATTAAAGCTCTGTTGTAAAATTAAGTATATTTATTGGAAAGCAACAATAATTTGCTTATATAGTCTCAATGATATAAAACACTAATGATGAAATTGAAAAGTTAAACTAAATCATATATAACAATAATTTTCCCATGACATTCAGTAAAATAATAGCTGTAATATTTACATCAATAAAATAAAGACTTATTACAGGATTAAAAGAATAACCCTATTATTACCCACACTATAATCCTTTTATTCTGCTTATAGTAATATAGTACTTATAGTGCCAACTTCTGTACTTGCTCAGCCAGTTATTTTGTTATACAAATTCAATTTTTCTAAGATACTTAAATAGTTAAAATCAAGTCCTATCTGTTCAGATACGGCATGTGAAATATAGATTTTTAAAAACTGATATATTGGAACTGGTCAAATTTTTTAAGTTTTGAAATTCAAAGGAATTAGCAAGAAAAATAAAAAGCAAACTACAGATTGGTAGAAAATATTTGCAACATGTATATCTATTGAAAGACTTGCATCCAGAATATATAAATATCCTTTCTATTCAATAAAATGATAAAACAAAAAAAGGGACACAAAATTTAAATATATTTAAATAGATTCTTCACTAAAGATTTACAGTAACCAAGAAGCATATGAAAAGATCATCAAGATCATAGTGTGTTTTCCATCAGATTTCAAGTAGGGTCGGGGATTTAGCTCAGTGGTGTTGGTGCTTGCCTTGCAAGCAAGCGCAAGGTCCTGAATTTGATCTCCGGTACCAAAAAAAAGAGAAGAGGTCAAATAGGAAATATTTTAAACTTCTCAGGCTACATGTTCTCTACCACAACTAATTAGCTCTGCCATACTACTGTAAAAATGGCTATAGGTATAGAAACAAATATGGTTCTGTTTCAATAAACTATACTTATAAAAATAATGAGATGAA